TCAAATCTTGCAGTGGTATGCTTGGATTTGGATTTAATTTTATTAATTATAGGATCCCAAGCAGATGGCAGCACCCATCCATCTTCTCTATTGAAATTAGGATGTAAAAATTAGTTTCATTTAATGTGCAGTAATCGCGTAAATATAAAAAAAATGGTTAATTTATAGTTTAACACTTAATTATAAAAATGTTTCCAAAACGTTTTTATATCCACTCATTGTCAACCCGCCTGCAAATCTTAGGGAATAAGGCATGTACCTACTTCCTATAATGGGGGAGGCTAATGTTCAGCAGTGGGTCTTTACGGAACAATTATATAGGAGAACATGGATACATTTCCACGTTAAGATGATGACCAAATTTATCTTGACCTTGTCTATGGAATAATAAACAGCATAAGTAATCAGATAAATCTAAAAACATTTTTCGAAAAGAATATTCTGACCAACACCATCTGTTATTTTCTACCGACTTCCAAAAAGGAGACAGTACTCAATTCGACTGATTTTTGTATGTGTGTTACCTCATAACTTTTTACTGGGTGAACCGATTTCGATGATTCTTTTTTTGTTTGAAAGCTGGTACTTCTCGTGTGGTACCATATAAATTTAATCAAGGTCTGACCAATAATTTTTGAGTTATTCTTAATAACTTATATTGAAGTCGACTGTACAAAATTTTTAATTTTAAATTATTCTTTATCAAATCGTAGTATTAATTAAGTTTTATATTTTTATAGAAATATTTTTTGTCTGTTGTCTTTAGAAACTGCTACAGTTTTCCGAGTATAATTTTAAAGTCGTTATAAGCCTTGAAAGAAATAAAAGCAACACAACTAAAATTAGAAAAATTTAAATTCACTTTTTATTTGTGTGTTTTAAAATAGAAAAGCAAAAGTAAATGAGGGAATTTATTAGTAGAAAAAATATATTAATTTCTTAGTAATGAAACACAGTCCCTGGCAAAGAATGGTTAGAAAATCTATGCGTAATTAATTAAGTTTTGTGTTATATTTTATAAAAAAAGCACCTCTAATTTAATAAAAAAGTAAGGGGAGGGTGACATTAATCGAGATAATGTATTTAATGTGACCTTAAGAGCTTTTCCTGTATAAAATTTAATATCAATTTCCTTACCTAGCTTATTATATATTTTAGGTAAATTTATTAGCATTATTAGTTTCATTTAAATAAAAATAAAATTTTAAGTACAATCGTACTAAGCGAAGGATTATCCCATTTTTACCGACTTCAAAAAGGAGGAGGTACTCAATTCGAATGTATGTTTTTTTGTGTGTTACCTTATAACTTTTTTCTAGGTTAATCGATTTCTATGATTTTTTTTATTTGAAAGATGATGCTTTTCATGTGATCCCATATAAATTTGATCGAGGTCTGACCAATAGTTTATGAGTTATCCTTAATAATTTATATTGAAGCTAGCTATGATAGCCAGCTATGAGATATAGCTTGAAAGTATAATCATAATCACAGCCGAAAGTAAGAAATTTCATAAAAGATATATACATCTGTAGTTAGCGTGTGGTGGCAGCATTTAAGAAAATCCCATCCACGGAACGAAATGTTTCTTGAATTTTCCGTTACGTCCTATGGGTGTAGATAGACGCAAATATGGCAAATGCTAGAAAGATGAGCCTTCTAGTAAAATAGTCAAACTGACAAACTTGTAGCATCAATAAAGTTTTATATTTTTAACGAATTGGCTCTGAGGATTGTAAAGTACCGATACGCGGCGTGAGTAGATATTTTCGAAAATGCTATCTATTTCATACCGCTCACTCCGTATCACCCTGAATCTAATTAATTACAACACATCCTGTGTTGTAATTAATTAGATTTCACTTTGTATTGGCTTCATGGTATCACCGTATCGTGAGATTGAGATAGTTGGTAGTCTTGGAGGCAATTGCCTATATTTCGGGCGAAAACGTTTTCACCTCCCTAAGCCTTTACGAAATGAGAAAATTTTGGTCTCATAAGATTTAGTACACCTTAATCTAGGTCTGTACGTTTTTTTAAATTATTTAGTTAAGTTTAATTAAAAAAAAGTTAGAGGAAGTTTTTTTAAGTCAAAAATGTTGATATTTAAATGCTAATAACTTATTTTTATCTATTTTTCTTTTTTTTATTATTTTTATAAAACGTTACCCACAGCATGTCGCTCCCGGGAACAAAGTCAATGGTGCCCTGACTGCGTTAGTCAAAAGGCAAGGCGTAGCGAAGAGTGCACGCCTTGCAATATATAACGCAGTGTTGGTACCGACTTTGTTATATGGCAGCGAAACCTGGGTATGCCAGAAGAAGCATAAAAGTAAGTTGAATGCAGTGGAGATGCGATCTCTTCGTAAAATGTGCGGCGTTACCTTGGCCGACCGAAAGCGAAACGAAGAGATTCGCAATATGGCAGGTTTGAAAGATGACCTTATCACAAAAATTGATAAGGGCGTGCTTCGGTGGTTTGGGCACGTTGAGCGAATGAGTGAAGACCGAATGGTGAAGAAAATATATAGCGCGAAAGTTAATATTAAAAGATGTCGAGGTAGACCGAGACTAACTTTCGAAGACCATGTGAGCAAATTGCTCGAAGAGGGTAGGGTCAAGAGTACTCGGATACCTAGACGTGCATGCATTAAGAAGATAATGAATCTGAAAGAAGCGAAAGAGGTTTGTAAGGATCGTGACACTTGGCGATCTGTTCTCTCTGGCTACCCCGTCAGGGATTGTGCGTGAAGATAAGTTAAGTTAAGTTAAGTAAACGTTACCCCCACACTAGGATTTTCTCCTGTATCGTGGAGGCAGTTTACAAACACAAATTGCACAAGGACAAACATCCAGAACCGGAATAATTATTTGTAGGCCATACAAATACGTGTTCCGTGCGGGATGCGGCCCCCAGCGCAGCAACTCATTGCTAAGCCACTGCGCCACCGAGCCGGAGCGGTTTCCAAAAATTATGAAAATTAGACGATGTTTACGAGGGGCAAAACGTTATTACTTGTTGTATGAAAATTTACAGCTTCACTATCTTCTTACAGATGCTTTGGCTGATACAAATGGTGCACACTCATTTCACTTACTACTATTTTAGAGATGCCTGCGATCCTCTACTAAATTTATGTTTATGGTCTTATACCTCAGTACAATACAGTACTGAGGTATAATATCATCATCATCATCATTACAGCCCTTCACAAGTCCACTGCTGAACATAGGCCTCCCCCAAAGAATGCCACAAAGCACGGTCCTGAGCCACCTGCATCCATCGACTTCCTGCATATCTTACCAGGTCGTCACTACATCTAGTGGGGGGACGCCCTACACTTCGCCTGCCGGTACGAGGCTACCACTCGAGAACCTTTCTTCCCCATCGGTTGTCGGTTCTTCGAGCTATATGGTCGGCCCATTGCCACTTCAGCTTACTAATCCGTTGGGCTATGTCGGTCACTCTAGTTCTACTGCGGATATCCTCATTTCTGAGTCTATCACGCAGAGAAACTCCGAGCATAGCCCTCTCCATAGCTCGCTGAGCGACCTTGAGCTTCCTCATCCGGCCAGCAGTGAAGGACCACGTCTCAGTTCCGTATGTCATCACTGGCAACACGCACTGGGTGTAAAGTCTCGTTTTCATGTTTTGAGGTATACCTGACGAGAAGATGTGCCGTAATTTCCCGAACGCTGCCCAACCGAGTTGAATCCGTCGATCGACCTCTCGGTCGAAGTTGGACTTACCTAGGCGGACTATTTGTCCCAGGTAAACATACTCGTCAACAACTTCGAGCTTAGTGTCCCCAACAACTACCGGCATAGGTGTGACATGGACATTAAACATGATCTTTGTTTTGTCCATGTTCATCTTAAGACCTATCCGTTGGGAAACACTATTAAACACAGGTATAATACCAAAACATAAATTTAGGACAATTGCAATTTATGGGATAAAGTTACATTTTAAGGAAAAACATTAAAACAATGATAAAATGTTACAAACTTATGCTACGTTATGTACCATGTGCACATACGTTATGTGTATTCACAGAGATAAAAACGGAGACGTCAATTAAAATCTCCTGTAATGAGTGAGAGTCAATACATGCTCACAATCCTCTGTGCTAAAGAAGTAAAAAACATTAAAAAAAAACACTAATGTCGTTGTTTTTAGGAATAATAAAAAGTAATATATTATTGCGAGTTCTATTATATATATCCTAAAAATTTCAAAAAACAAAGCCGTTCATTGCAGGTTCTTGGATAATACATTAAAGAAAGTACAATATTTTTTAATATTTAAAATTATTTTTTGTGTAAGGTATTACTTTAAAAATAATGCCGCTACAAAAATTTTAATGGTTGGACATCAAATAAATTATTAATCAACTGCCAGCACCTCAAGGCAGCACATTGTGTGTCGTTCGAATCAATCAATACATTTAAACGATCGTGTAGCATGAAAGACCTATCGCCTTAGGTTATGGTATGGTAATTAGAACTACGAGTATATTTATGATGTATGGAGTATTGCTGCCATGTATAGGCTGATGCTCCAAAATACCACTTAGTTAACCATAGATTAATACCAATCTTACTAGCCTCGGACACAGGCGCAAAGTAGCCAAGCCTTTCGGTTTTATACAGGATGCTTTTCGGTGAGTGTGCGCAAGAATTGCATAACTTAGTTCCTCCCTCTCCCTTCCACAATGGGACCACCAGGTTTCCACCCTTTCGTTGTTGGCTTAGCACTCATTCGAACCAGACAATTTGCTAAATCGTTCTCCATGCATACAGTAAAAGAGTGGAATAAGTTGCCAGCATCTGTCTTTCCATCCGATTACAATGTGGGTGTCTTCAGGTTTTTGTTAAGTCAGTGCGTTTCACCATCTTAAGATACATTACCACTTACTATCAGGTGAAAAAAAAAAATATATTTGAAATATCTTAATGAAATGAAATACGAGAAAATAGTAAAACTTTAATATACTTACTCAGCCTCTTCGATCGTCTCCGACATGGCAAGGAAGACACAGTTGAGCAGAATAGTCGCCATGACGAAATAATCGAAGTACTGATTAGTGGAGAGGTAGACGCACGCGCGCCGCACCGGGGACCATGGCGACCACCAGAACAGAGACCTCGTCGCCGTGAAGCGGTGAATGTAGTTCTTACGGAACCGCTTCGACACCACACAAAATGTCTGCAACAAAAGGAGTTTTAATTTAGGAACAGTGTTTTGTTTAGTCATTAAATTAAATTAATATTTTAATTAATAAAAGGGTGGGCTCCGTCCTCACAGCCTGCGTTATGAAGTAACTTTACTAAATTAAAAAAAAATATATATTACTGCGACTATACTCGCAAGTCGTAATGGAATTGTATGTACGGTGAATTAGTACAATACGCTCCTATTTATTTTGAAAGTGGTAGAGATACGTTGCAGCTGTATCGTGATTGCAACTAATGGATCAGCTCGACCAAGAAAGGACCTTAGTTTAGCAAAAATTATTCATCAATTCATCAAAGTCATTCACAAGCTCACTCCTAAAGATCAGCTTCGTCCAAAGAACGCCGTGAAACAAGGCTCTACTTCTTTTTTTCTCGGTTCTCTTCTTTATACTGGTCTATTTGGACTGTGTGATCTCCCGAACGCTGCTTGGCCGAGATGGATCCGTCCATTAACCTCCTGTTCGAAGTTAGACTTACTTTGAACAATTTGTTCTATGGAAACACTCTCGACAAGAATTTCCGATCGTAGTGCTTCCAACTACTACCTGCATAGGTGTTGATATTGATGTTACACATAACTTTTGTCTTGTCCACGTTCATATTAAGCCATAGTGACTATATCGTCCAAAAATTAAAGGCGAAGTAGAATTTCCTAGCCATTGAATTTGTATCTTTTCTAGTCCGGCACTGTGATCTTACCTGCGGTTGAATTTGATATCTTGGATTTTTTTGCTCTAGCCCATAGACATCTAGATCTATCCTCTATTATGAATCAAAATGCAGATTCGTTGTCACCCGTGAGGATTAAGATGGAATGCCTCGTTTCCAGTAAAAAGTGTCTCCGGTTCTCTACACTCAACATACGAAACACAGCGGCGTTAAGCTGGTATTCTGTGAGAGTGTGGTCTTTCCCCGGTCGAGCCGACCTATTCGTGCTACAACTATACTATATAGCTGCAGCATGTCTCTACCACATTTGAAATGATGGTGATGATTGCCTTTTAGAAGTCATAGAGTCATAGACTAAAATTTTGTTTCGGCATCATGACGGTGAAGCCACTATTTACTCTTGTTTGATAATCAATAAGCATTTTGGGGATGAGTAACCATTCTGGGTTTTTCTGGATACTCTTTTCCCGTCGAAAATTTCGTTTCTTCAGCAATAATTTATTTATTATACATATAAAAGAGGCTGTCGGTAAATATGAAATCGTTTAATTCAAAATCTATTTGATCAATCAACATGAAAATTGGTATATATATATATATATATATATATATATATATATATATATATATTTAGATTAGGTACATATTATAGGTTTATATTTATAAATTAAGAAACATTAAAAAAATTAAAACAAAATTAAAAAAAATTGATTTTAATTGTTTTCTTTTTCAATCAAGCGCGGCAATTAAGAAATTAAATTGCATGCGCTAAAATAACGATCGTTGCTGAACACAATCTACGATATTAAATAGCAGGACAACGTCTGCCGAGTTCATTTAATATATACCTAGTCAGGTCATAAGTATTGTCACACGGTAAAAACTTTTCTTTTAGAATGCTGGCCACAAAAAGTTTATTGAATTCGAATTTCGAATTGTTCATGAAAATAAAACTGTATACTTTTTAGAATTTTACTCATTTTTAAATATGGAGTGGACGCTTAAAGAAGACCGTGTTGCAGTTATTGCGTTGTTACTTTGCGGTTACGCGCCAATTCAAATTTTTGACATACTGAAAAATTTGAATATAACCAAAGATTCGTTTATCGTACCATCAAACGATACAATGTCAACTGTCACTGTCAACAAATTATTTTATATTATAAATATAATTTAATAAATTTAATAAATTTAAATTGGTGAAAATAATCAGCAAAGAAAAATAAAAGCACAGAATCAAGGAATACTCAACGCCAGCCAAAAATAATTAGCAATCTTCTGCGCAACGCTTTAACCCTGGTACTTTTAAACTCATCGCCAACTAAAGAGGTACTGTGAACTTTTGTTGTTTTTTTTTTGTCCCGTAAAATTAAAAATCTCTTACAACTTATTGTTTCCTGATATAATGATGAACAAATTTGACAAATCTTCGTCTGAATCAAATGTCTCAGAACAACAAGAGCATACACCACCTAACTTTGTCACTCAAAGAAATAAACGGGGCAGAGAAAATGATTATGAATATGATTTTTACACTTTTCGGGAGGAAATAAAATCAATGATTTCTACTTTAATGGCTGTACAGCAGGATGAAATCAAGAAAATTCACCCTACCCTTATGGACATAAGAGTTACAAATAACAACATACAAAACTCTATAGAATTCCTTGCATCACAGAATGAGGAACTAAAAAAGAAAATTGAGCAGTTGGAACTTCAAACAAAGAAGGACAAGGACTATATAATAATACTAGAAGATAAGATCGAGGATCTACAGCGAGAAAACCGTAAGGTCAATATTGAAATAAAAAACGTTCGGAAAGTGCCCAATGAGTCCAAGGAAGTCCTATTAAAGTTGTTCTTAACTTTATCCCATAACATCGGCTGTAACATTGAAAAAAGGGATATTAAAGACATTTACAGAGTAAATAGGAAAACTGACCAGAATAAAAGTCAAGTTATAACGGAGATGTCATCGACTATGCAAAAAACAGAGTTTTTAAAGCTAGCTAAAAACTATAATATAAGACACAAAGAAAAACTGTGCGCAAAACACTTAGGCTTTACAAAAAATGAATATGAACCCATTTACGTATCAGAACAACTGACAGCAAGAGGAGCACGCTTATATTTTCTAGCCCGCGATCTTGCCAAGTCTAAGAACTACAAGTTCTGTTGGACAGCCTACGGTAAAATATATATAAGAAAAAAAGAAAACTCGCCCATTATAGTTATTAAAAATGAATCCCAAGTTAATAATCTTATGCAAAAGGAATGACTATATTATGTAAATAACTTAGTTAATTCGCATCCTTTTTGTCTATTTTTTGTTTTTTGTTTTTTTGTTTTTGGTAATAAGGTTGATTTTCTTTGTCACTACTTTTCTTATAAAATATCTAAGTATAAAGCATGTATTAACATAGTAATTACTGTTGTCATGAATAACATCACACATATACAAAAACGCAAAATAATTTTAAATATACACACGATATATTTCTACATATGTCTACATATTTCAAAATCGAAGTACATACTTAATTTCTTTCACACACATCCACATCAAATTTCACACACTAACATAAATACCTTTTACGTAAAAATATTTCTCCACACTAACACAATACAAAAATACCTACCAATATTTACTTTTGTTAAATTTACTACTGCTAACTCTGAACTCCCTCGATTAACTCATCATAATTACCCCGTTGTATTATTCCTGCCCGTTTTGTTATATAGCTTTACACTTTATTTTTCACATAATAACCTAACATCTCTTTTTGGTTGTCCCATCGTCTCGGCCGACATCCCCCTAAAATATCGCCGCACAGTTCCTCCTCCTCTCCCATATACCCTGCACTTGGAGGCTACACCTATTGTGGCCACCATTTTTGAATCCGGTACTTTTTACCCCTAATACCAAAATTCACATCCGATATCGACCTAATTGAAAATATAGATAATGTGACTATTTGTAGTGCATCCTCTTGTGATCCACATGAAGTTCGAAACGCTCTCACTGCAAATAACCTGGGTACTAAAGCATTAAAAATCCTCGCCCAAAATATTTGCAGTATATCGGCCAACATACATAATTTCTCTACCCTGTTACATAATATCAACACTGATCTCGATGTTTTAATATTGACAGAATGTTGGCTCGGCATCGAGCCTTCTATTCCCATTCTCCCTGGTTTTATATCCCACTCTTCACCTAACCCAGTGAATCAGAACGATGGCGTCGTCGTCTACTACAATAACTCAATCACTAATGTTTCTATTTCCAACCCGAATATTGTTGATGCCAGCTCACTCCTTATTCAAATACAACAACAAACTGTAATTTTAGCTATATATCGACCATGTGCATTTCGAAATCCCCTCAACTTTATAAATTCCCTTTATCAGACCCTAGCTTCTTTAAATAAATTTAAAAATATTATTATCGCAGGAGATATCAATATTAATATTATACCTAACTCCAATCCCGATCAAAACACTGAAGCGTATTTGAATATGCTTGCCTACAATGGCTTTTTGCCAGCCCATACTCTTCCCACTCGTAAATTGGCCTGTCTCGACCATGTCTTTTTAAAAACCACCTTTCCAGCCCAATGTTTTGTGATCCAATCCTCAGTTACGGACCACGACGCTATCTTACTCGTCATCTATATGAAGAATATATCACATGCATCTTCCAAAGTCTCAAAAAAGATTGACATCCCCAACCTTATGCACACCTTAAAAAAAGTAAACTTCTCCGATGTACTCCAGCTCACTGATCCAAACCTAGCAACTAACCTGTTTATTAGTAAACTTCAGGCTGCGATAAATCAACACTCCAAGTCCAAGCTCTTGCCCAGCCGACGAAGGTTTCTCAAACCTTGGATGACTCCTGGGTTATTAAGATGTATTCGAAATAGAGACGGCATGCATAAGAAACTTAAAAAAGACCCTCAAAATGACATACTTCGAAAAACTTACTGTCGCTACCGTAACTTCTGCAATTCCCTTCTTAGGAAGATTAGGATAGCATATAATAGAGAACGGATAAATAAGGCTGGAAATAATAACAAAAAATTATGGAACGCTATCAGAGATGTTACGAACATGAACAAACAGCGCTCCGACTGCAACGACCTCCTCACTTCTACGTCCACTACCTCCCAATCGCTAGATAGTACAAATGCTTTTTTTGCCAATATTGGTAAATCTCTCGCTGAGGATATACTTCTTGCCTCCACTCCCTCCCCCCAAAAATTCCCAATATCTTGCTCAAATGAGACCTTTGTCCTCCTC